ATAAATATTACCATTCAAATTAAAATGTAAACCCACTAAACTTATCAAAAATAATATCAGATTGATTCGATAAAATTAATTTAGGTTCTCTCGATTTCTCTTTGCTATCGATTTCAAGGCGATTGACAGATTCACTTTCTTCATCACTCTTGTATCAGTCTCTTTGAATATCTCTTTCTCACGTATTAGGAATAAAAAATAATTATATAAGCAATTAACAAAGAAATTGAATTTTATCATTTGAGAAAGAAAATCTTGCTTGGAAGAAAATGAAGAAGTAAGGGGGCAGGGGTAGGGTTGGGATTCTCATTTATTTTTTTTAATAAAAAAATAGATGAAAAATATATTTGGAATGATTTTAATTCTTTTTAACATAAAATTCTTTTTTTTCTATAATTGTTGGGCTAACGCCACATGTTATCTTGTAATTTGTCATTTTGCCACATCACAACAAGTGTATTACACACATTTTATTTTATTTTTACTTATTATTGAAAAATGTCTAATAGGAACAAGTTTTGAATAGATAAAAGTGTTCAATAGGTACTAGACCTAGTTGATGTATCTAAGTTAATTATGCGAACAACTTTAAGAGCCCGCCGATGACTTAAGGCTTTAAAAAATCTAAGGTTGAGAGTAGATGTAGAAGTTGTAATTATAGTCTTATAATTTATTTCAGAGTACAACATACCGTCACATCTGATGTAGATTGTGAAAAATGTTTTTTTTTCATCAAATAATACTTTTGGGTTTATATACAGTGATCACACATGCAAAAATATACTCCTTCCGTTCCATTTTATGTGAGGTAGTTTGACTCGACACGGAGTTTAAGAAAGAAATGAAGACTTTTAAAACTTGTGGTCCAAAAATGAATGATAGAAATTTGATTGGCTGTAAATCATTTCATTAAGGGTAAAATAAACATTTTATAGTTAAATTGTTACTTAATATAGAAATGTGTCATTCTTTTTTGGACTGACTAAAAAGGAAAGTAAGTCACATAAATTGGACAGAGGAAGTATCTTTTTCAGTGAAAGCATTTATGTGGAAATTATTATTACAGTAGCCAAATACATCTCAAATCTAATATAAAAAATTATGTGAAATGTTCTACAAAAAAACATATCATCAAGAAACATTGTATCTTTATCATCATAGAGTAACATATATGCATATGTAACGTAAAGTAACTATTATAAATAGTATCTCAACTATCTTAATTTCTATCAACTCTACAAATATTGAATTCATTTTAACTTCAAGCATTAGACGATTAAAATAAGATTAATGTTCACCTACTCAAGAGCTAGCATTTTTGATATACTTTTTTTTCTCTAACATATCAGTTGAAATGGAAGATTTTGATGCCAACTAATCGGATCAGAACTAGTACTATTATATACAATACATATGTTTTATCAATTAAATCAAGAAGAATCTCAATAACTCAATTATTTTCCGTCTTCTCTATCTACGTATCAATATATCTACCTATTTATAACAGTTGACAAAACCTACTACAACTAGGAAAAACAAAACCTACCAAAGGTAAACGAAAATTACCAAAAAAGTAATTATTTTGGTTTTCTATTCCTACTCCAGCTAGGAATAGGAATTTTCCATTTACAGAATTTTCTTTTGAAAATATTAATAATTTAACAAAGAGATTTAAAATATAGGGAATATATTTACAATTAAATTATATTTCAGGGTATTTCATATAATTTATCCATAAATAAACAAAGTTGACTATCAGATACTTTTTTTATATTCCTCTTCATTTATCTTTTAATTTCTATGCCCCAAATATTCAACTTTCTTTACATAATTTATCTTACATTTCTTTACTTCTCAATTTTTAACCTTTCATGTAATTTCTCACATTTTGTTTTTATTTTTGTTTATTTTTTCCATTTCACTCAGCTTTGTTACTATTCTAATTTATTTATTTTTAAAAAAATATTATACATACTAATACTAGAAAGAATGATTCATTTACAAACTTGGCTTATAATTTAAGTGATGTTATTAAAGTTGAATTTCATTGTATGAAGTTATTGACGAACTTGAAGTGATGTTCGAGTTAGTAGTTGTATCTGTTCGCTTCCATGAATACAATAACAATTAATGTTAAGTATTAGATTGTATTCATTAGTTCCGGCCACGGTAGCAAAGCATACAATCACGATAAGTTGTATGTGCTAGCACAACATATCGTACCTATTCTCTCTCATACAATGAAATAGAGTGAATTCACTCTAATGATTGTAATCAACAAATGCAATTTGATGAATGCAATCACGATATATTGTATGCGCTCACTTAAAGTCACAATAGGCCTAATCCATCGGTGGCCACTTGAAAATTCTAGCTCCGCCTCTGCCCATCGGTAGCCACTTGACACAATTTCTCACTTAAACATCTTAACTAGACTTTGTTCATTTTAGACACCTCATGTCATTTTTTGCTGACATGACATAGTGAGATACATTGACTACCAGCGCATTAAAAGCTTATTCAATTCATTTTTTTTTTATTTTTTTCGTCTTCTTCCACATTTTTTAACCATCTCCCAAAACTTAAACTTCCTTCCATGGAGAAGTAAATTTGATGATGCTAATTAGTTAAAACAAAAACAACTAAAATTATAGTAGAATAAGCTATAATTAATTTGATTTAGAACCAGTAGAAAAAAACAATTGAGAAAGATTGACGAAGAGTTTCTTGCATCTTAAGTGAAGAACGATTTTGGTGGGGAAGAGGTGGGAGCTCAGGTGGTGGGGCTGGTGGGTTAAATTATAGTACAATAAGCTATAACTAATAAGGTTAAATGTTTAAGGGAGAGATATTCACTGGCATGCATAGGCTATTTCAGTTGTAGAAACTCAACAGTATTATTGCATATGACCCTGAGCAAGGAATTAAACTCTCGTGGATTTGCACTTGAATAGAGATACAGTTGGTTGTAAAATCTATATACTTTGTAAAGAGAGCATCATACACAGGTGCTGTGCTGGCTTAATCTTGTAGCTACTGAGTATAGACATAACATTTCATATCTGGTTCAGAGAGTCCCTAGGCCATATCATCGGCCCTAAAGATCAGTAAATTATTAGAAATGATTACTCCAAACATAAAAGATCCTATACTGAAATATGAACGCAGCGAGCTAAGCAAATAGGTTAGACCTAATAGGAGGCAAATGAGAGTTTATATGATCAAATCTAGAGTATACTGAACTCAGTAAAGGAAAAGAGAAGAAATCTAGTGAACTTTCGGTTTTACATCCCTCGGCTATACAAGGTTGATAAGCATAATTTTCTCCACAGATTTGGTCCTGCGTTGACTCTTCGGCACAAATTACGTTCTAAATAGATAGATTTCATTTCTTTGTAGCTTCTTCCATTTAACACAATAATAGTAGGATGTTTTCTTGTCATTGGTGTAACAGAATCAACCCTTCAGCTATATTATCACAATTCCTAAAGTTCTCAGAATAATAAATCCTTACCCTACGAGGACAATCAAGGAAACATTAAGCTGAGAAAAGCTTTAACCTTCTGTAGAAAAGACAAACTTGTATGGATAAGATCAAATGCTTGAAGAAGGCCACAGCAAAAAATCGCATTAAACACCACACTCTAGATCACTTCTTTAAATGCAAATCAGAAAAGTAGGGATTCCTTTCTTGAAGTTAGACATAGAAAATCACTGGAAAGCACGAGTAAGTCTCCTTTACATAAAAGATATTAGCTCAACATTTGTGTATGGACATGGTATCATGCAATATTTGTACAAAAGCCATAGATTTGTTCATTTATCATTTCAATTTATATTTAAACCAAAGCCAATTTATCTATCTTATCTTCCTTGGCATGTCTAAGGTTAAATATCTAAGACGGAGCCATTCACTGGCAAATCCTATAATGGTAATTTCAGTGGTAAAGCTCTTATTGAACATTGTGATTACAAGTGATAGGGCAGATGGCAGATACTCAAAGCACTCAGACACTGCACCTTTACTCAAAAGCTTCGAACTTCACTGAGAGTGTGTTCCGTATGGAGGAAACCATTTTCTGGAAAATGTTGTCAAATTTTCTCATGTGTGATTGGTTAAAATAATTTGGAAAACATTTTGTCTAAACTTCTCTAACGGAAGTAGAGAAAACAAGTTCCATAGTAAATTTCAAGTTCATTGTGTCCTCCACACCCACCAAACATCCCCAATCCCCTCCCCATTAATCAATATATGCCTGAGCCAGCACTAGGCATTACCATCAAACAAGAACCAGATAGAGAAATGTTCCCCAACAACATCTTCAAAATTAGATAGCAGTTTTTGAGATATCTAGTGATCAAATCCAAGACAATGGGTTAAGCTATTGAAGGATAATTAGTTAAAGACCACTAAAGCACATACACAAACCTAAGAGGAAGCTTGACCTTTGACAAATGTGAGAATACAGGAGAACCAGTCGCACAATAGTAATATTTGTCCCTGCACAACTGACAGTATTTGTAACCATGATCATTGTCCCTACACAATTTGCGGTTACTAATAGAATAATCCCATCAAAGTAACTAAATATTCACACGATCTACATAAGTAACATAACAAATACCTCTCTTTAGAAGTTGTATGTATCAACAGCAAATCCTCAGGAGTTACCTTCCCGTTCTTTAAATTTCAAGAAAAATGATGGCAACATGGAATTATTCAACTCTGTTATGCGCCACCATATTGAAGCGAGTCTTGGTATCTTGACCCCTAGCAATGCATTGCCGTAGTACATATTCATAAAGGGGGAGAACGATTTGGAGTGTAACTGATAGGAATATTAATAGACAATGAGAACTGCTTGAAATATCTAATGATCAAATCCAAGACAATGGGTTCAGTTATTAAAGGATACTAAAGCACATATACAAACCTAAGAGGAAGTTGCTCATAAAATAGTTTTTTGCCTCCTTCGGGCTTGGGCTAACAATCTCTGTGCTTGCAGAATAATAATTTTGTGACCATGATCTTTGTCCCTGCACAATTAGAAACAGTTTATGCGACTACTAATAGAAATAATTCCATCAAAAGTAACAAATCACAACAAAATAATCGAGGGTCTACATCTACAAAAGTAACAGAACTAATACCCCGACTAGAGTTACCTTCATGTTTTTTAAATTTCAAGAAAGATGATGAATATTTGTGAGATGTATTACAAGTTTCCAAAAATCAACTGAACCAAGCAATTTTTAAAGATGCTCAACTGGAATTCATTTAGTCGCTGCCATAATGGTACTTCAAAGATCTTAAACCGACTCTTGAGGTGGTGGCGTGGAAACCTAACAATGAATTGACACAGTACATATTTATGAGATGAGGAAGAAGTGAGAATAATTTAGAGCGAAAGTGATATGGAGATGAATATTACAAGTTTCAATAGTCAAGACCATGATCTTTGTCCCTGCACAATATAGAAACAGAGAAATAACTGGAAATCATCATGAGTTACCTTCTCCTTCTTTAAATTTCAAACAATTTCAAGAATTGAAGTAAGTGTTGGTCTCTTGAACCCTAGCAATGAATTGACGCAGTACATATTTAGATTTGAAGATGAATATTACAAGTTTCCATAGTCGAAAACGTGATCTTGATCCCTGAACAATATAGAAACATAGAAGTAACTGGAAATCCTCATGAGTTACCTTCTCCTTCTTTAACTTTCAAGAGCTTGAACCCTAGCAATGAATTGACGCAGTGCATATTTAGAGCGGAAGTTATATTACAAGTTTACATAGTCAAGAACCTGGAAATCCTCACGAGTTACCTTTTCCTTCATTAAATTTCAAGAATTTCTTGAAATCCTCGGAGGAGAGAGAGTGATTTGAGAGTAAATGCGATATGAAGAGAAATAAACGATAGTACATTCTCTCTTTTTTCTTGATACACGAATATCTAAGAATCAGCCTTTTCCTCTCAAGGGAGAGAGAGAGAGTTTAGGAAGCCAACTAGAAGCTTAAGTGAATCTGAAATAAAATGAATAATTTTTTCAAACTCAGAATCATAATTTCATATCGTGGGGGCCAAACCGGCCCTAAATTTACTCTATTCTTGCTCAGTTTTTCCTCTTCCCAAATCCCTTTAACCCTAATCGTTCTTCAGCTTCAAATTGATTATGGAAGCTTTAATCGAAGTAAGTTTCTTCTTTCGGATCTATCATCTTCTCCATTATGCCCAAAATACTAATCGAAGTCGAAATTCGTGAAGCTTGAAGCAGAATGTGAAAGCTTTAATCCAGTAATTTCTTCTTTCGGTCTTTCATCTTTCTCAGTATTTGATTTCGTTTAATCCGTATTTCTGTGTTCTTAAAGTTCTATTTGAATGAATTTGTTTATGCTATTTCTTTCATCTGATTTGAGTTTTTTCAATGTATTTAGAGTTTATCTATGCATTTGAGATTTCTCTGTTTTGGTAGTTAATTAAGTAGCGCAGAAATAACTGAAACAAATAATGACTTTAAAGTCTGCTCGCTGCAGAAGGAGAGCATTTTATCCTAATTAACATCTTTTTGGGGCTTGTTTGTAAAGCAGTTGTATAAATTCCTATTTTCCCTTTTGATTTCTGTTAAACAAAAGTATACTGCATATTCTACAATTGAACTAGTTGCGATGGAACTTGTTAATATCAGGGTGATGGTGAATTGTGTAGTAACTTGTTAAATGTTAACATGCAGGCAGCCAGGCATATGTGTTTTGTGTTGGTAAGACAGTACTTAAGTCTAACATTTGTGTCTAGAGAAACACAACCAACAAATTGCTTCTTAAAAGTTAAGTAACTTAAGAACCAAAAAATTGTTAAGTGTGAGGGTGGTTGGTATAAAACGTCTCGGTTACAAGAATCCTTGGTCATGTTATACAAGGTTTTACACTTGTTTGACATATCTCAGTTTAATGCTTTCACAAAGCTTTTGAAGATGTTTGAACTTAAGCAGCAAAGAAAAAGAAATTGCAAGAAAAGAGAAGTTCTAAACCAATCAATTTTTTTTTACTCAAACTCTAGGGTACACTTATTAGTTATGTTATCAAATACTTGAAGAGGATCTTGTGCATAAAGTCCCCTTTGTTTCAATTTGTTTGTCTTGCTTTCTTTTTTAGTCCGTTTAAAAAAGTCTTCTTTGACCCTAGTTTTTTATCTTAGAGTGAACTGATCCAGAAGCCTGGAGACTTCTGGCCTTGAAGTTCTCAGGGATTTAGTTCTCTATTGTCCTCATCAAGTAAAATTTATTGCTCAAGGTGTTTAGATGAGTTGCTTCCACCTCTAACTTCTGTATGGACATCAAGCACTTCAAGTTTGCATATCAAAGTTAGTTGCTTTTGTGAATCATAATCTTGACTACCTACCTATAACACTAATATACTTGTGACTTATCGATTTCTTTAACTGACAGGAGATGCTACTTTCAAGAAGGTGGTGAAATTGATGCGGTCATGACTATTGAAACTGCATACTGGAGGTCAATTCTGACATTGGCTGATTGGATAGGTCAAGTGAACTTGACCAAGACGATGTCGTATTTCAAAATTATGCTCTTGTTCACTCCAGGTACTCTTGGTTTTGATCTGTTACAATAACTGAATATATAACCAACAAATTGAAAAAGAATATAGGATTAAAGCGATTAACTTTCCTCATTTTCAAACCTAAAAGCTTATTAATACATACATCACTGGTAGACACTATGATTAATTGTCTATGTTTAAGCCATGACATTATCTCTATCCATTAAATTATTTCACCTTATGTGTGATCTTAGTTTCTAACTTGTACACCTACTCATGTGTGGTTTATTCTTCATATTTGTGATGTAGATGCATTTTAAGAAAGGCTCGTCAGTGCGACATAGAGTAGGAGAGTTTACTAACTTGTACACCTACTCATGTTGTCCTTTTGTTATGTTATGTTCCTATATAAACTGGATGTATTTTGAATATAGTGACCTTTTATTCTGGTATATTCCTATATATTTCATCTAAATTGGATCTTGACTCTTTTTGGATTAGGATTCCTTGAATTTTTCATTTGTTATTGATATGCATAGCCCTGCAAATTTCAATTTTTATCTCTGGTGATTCATTAGCTGTTATAATCTTGTCACTGTAGCACTCTTGTCATTTTATCCTCTTTTAAGTAATTTTCTTGATGTAGTCTTTGAGCTCAATTGTTGAAGTGGAGACTAATCAAGCCAGCAAAGTAAAGAAAAGAAGAGGTGAGAATTAGAGAAAGGGTTTTGCATCTGAGGATTTTTTATTTCTTCAAGTTATGATTTGCTGGATTAAAGTAAGAATTTGACTTGTACACTTTCTGCTTATTTGGTTTTAGCTTTCTCAGAATGCACCTCAAAGCCATGTAATGCCTGTAAGCTTTTCTGTAGCTAAGAGTTTGCCAAAGAATTTTTTACTGTGTTTTCTGCTTAATATTAAAATGTGAAAATTATGAACCAGCATTGTATATGTTGCAGGCCTTTTCGGTTCATGGAATTTGAAGGAGTAATCTCAAGAGAGTCATTTTTATTTCTAGAAATGAAGAGATTCTGTTAATGTGATGACAGTTTGCTATGTAAGTGGTTCTTCATAACTCAGTAAATCTTTTCATTTTTTAGTCAGCTAACGATATTATTTGAAGTTCTTTATAACAGTTTGCGATGTTTCTTTAGTACGTGATATTGTGTGCACTCTCTCAACAAACTGTAGTACATTCTCTCTTTTTCTTGATACACAAGTATGCAAGAATCCGCCTTTTCCTCTCAAGGGAGAGAGAGAGTTTGAATGGAAGTTTAGGAAGCCAACTAGAAGCTTAAGTTAATCTCAAATTAAATGAATAATTTTTCAAACTCATAATTTTATATTAATCCAATTTCACAACAATATTAAAGCATTTATTGGTTGCTAATCGAACTTGCACTTAAATACTACTCCCTCCGTCCACAATTGTTTGGCAGGTACACTAAAAATATACTACAAGAAAATTGTCTATTAGCGAAGGGAAATATGGTCCCTAAAAGCCTGAATCTGGTCCCTAGAAGTCGACAGCGACGATAAATATCTGGTCGCCACTCGTCTTTAAAGGCTCCGTCGCTAGAGGTTAATAGCGACGACAATTTTCAACTGGTCCCAGAAAGTATTTTGAGACCAGTTATATTCCCCGTCCCTAAAGGTTCTTTTGGGACCATATTTCCAGTCCTTAAATGGATGCTTAGAGCCCGTTTGGATTGACTTAAAAAAAGTAACTTTTAAAAAGTAACTTTTAAAGTGCTGGAACTTATTTTTAAAATAAGTAGTTATGTGTTTGGATAAAAGTGCTGCAGTTGAAAAAAAAGTTGTTGATGTGTTTGGCAAATAAGTGCTGGTATACACTTTTTTTTATCAAAATGTCTGAAATACCCTTTAAGCTGTTAACATGATAAAAAGTTGATTAATTTAAGGTTTTTATACTTAAAAAAAAAATTAAAACAAAATTAATTTATGTTTTACATCCATAAGTAATAATATTTTTCTATCATTCACATATTTCTTTACCACCTTATAAGAGGAATATAAATTCATATTTCAGAAATAATAATAATAATAAAATAATAATAATAATAATAA